AAAGAATATGGCATAGTTGATTTGACCGACTATAAATAATATTTATTTTTTATGAGTGATGAGATTTGCAAAAAATATGAGATATTTAATATTTAATTATTATTAAAGTTATGATATAAGAAAAAAATATGGGATGTTGATGCTTGGAATTTATATAAAGAATTTTTTAAAATTTTGGATTCCCGCATCTTTTTTTTTCAGATTTTCGCCTCCTATTCAGATAATTTCGAAACAGTAATTATTTCAACTTTTGGAATTGTAATTTGATAATTATAATTAATTGTTTTAGTTGATCTTTAATTTTGTTATTTTTGCAGGAATTGATCGGAGATGGAGCATCTGATTTTTTATTTTATTTTAAATTTATTTTTTTGGTTAGTTGTATTTGTTAATAATTAATTTTTTATTTATTTTCATTAATTTCGTTTAGTTTACTATGCATAGAAAAAATAATTTCGATTAAAAAAATAATTAATGAGAACTGTTGAGAGTAATTAATATGTTTAAAAAAATATGGAAACATTTTCATTTTCATTAACTCGTTATAATTGCAGAATTAATTGGTTGTCATTTTTAAAACACTCAACTTTTCAAGAAAATTGAGTTGTTTATAATAAAGAAAATAAAAAATAAAAACAAATGAAAAGTAACGGAAATTGGCGGGAAAATGCCACCTAGGTATAATTTATGAGGTTTAATTAAATGCAGAAGAGCTAGTAATTATATATATATAGATATAGATATCTTGCATTTTGACATTCGTAGCCATATTTATTAGGCCGACGGTAAGGATAGCGACTTAAAAAAAGAACATTAAATTAGCGGAAAGGGTAACATTAATTCCGTGGCCAAAAGAAAGGAAAAGTATGCATCAAATTGGTGGAACATGACTTAGTTGCCCCAAAAAAAATAATAATAATTAAATGTGGCTAAAATTGAAAAATCCATGCCAAACTTTGCATTACCTATAAGATAACTGCATTCATAAGCTATGCCTATACATTATAATTTATTGCATTTTATACAATAAAATAATATATAAACAGATCTAAAAATAGAATATCCGAGTAGAAGATATTCAATTCAATCTTCGCCAGAATTATCATTTTAAAGAAAGATATTATAATTTGGTTCCTTTAATCGAGCTGTGCATGCATGTTGAACTATTTAATGGCTGAATAAAAACTTATTTATAATTAGGGCTTTATATTTCAAATAAAAGAAAAAATAACTAACTACATGCTTGCGTGAGAGGAAACTAGAAAAACACCTTTTTTAGGATGAATTTTTGCTGTCACGAAAGTCTCACCTATTGCCATGGTGATGAAAAAAAAGCTGTTTTTTTTATTCAGAATTATCATTTAAAGAAAGAGAGGAACACGTGAGTTTGTAAAGCCTTTATAAACACCTTCAAAACACCTTCAAATGCCTTTGAAGTAAAATAAAATTCCACAAATGAAAGGGGCATTAATTTAACTTATATATATGTTGTAAGTATTTGCCACTTGCCTGCATAGAATTTAATTTGTAGTTTTTCACATGCTGGTGTTCGTTTTATAATGGTAAGGATTATTGCTCTTGCTTAAAATTTGTTAATATTTTGTTTCCTTTTACCATTCCACAAGTAAAAATTCATAAAATTAGACTTTCCTTAAGCCCATATATCACAATGTAGAGTGAAATAATAATGATGATGAATTCGGATAATTGTCAACTATACTCTCCAATTTGTTAGAGGATTTAAATTTTTAATAATAAAACCCCAAAAGAAAATCAAATGACAGGTTATATTTTTTAACACCAATCTATACTTATATAATAAGGTGTACCATTTACGAGTTTTAGTAAGTTGAAAAGTCAATGCAATAAATGCATTACTATTTTGAGCAACATAATATAATATCATATCTATACTTATATAAAAAGGAGATTCTATTTACTATATTTACTATCCAGAAAAGCCAACTGCATTAAATGCCATTACTATTTTGGTATTATAATATTTTATTTATTTAATTGATTTATTTATTTTATTTTAAAAAGGTAAGTATAAAAAAAAGATTTTAATAATAAAAAAATCAAATACCAAATAAAAATGTACACTTTGACTTATTTGATTATATTTGGTATTTGATTTTAGTATATACATTAAATACTTACTAAAGTATTTATTTGTTTTATTTGTCAAAGTTAAGTATAGATTTGTTTATATTATCAAATCATAAAAAAATATTAAATCTATATTGTAAAAAAAATTCATATAATTTTATAACAATTTCTACTACACTATTTAACAATATTCCTTTTCTATTATATAATAAAATAATAATTAAATATTATATGGTGAACAACAATAAGTAAAACTGTTACTTTCTCTTATATCAAGGGATAAATTTATATGCTAAAATTAATTTTTATTAGTATAAATGTTTTAGTGAGATAATATATTAATTATTTTACAAGCTAGCCCTAACATGCTCATATTTAATGTTTTAAAAGATGTAGAAAAAAACTTATAATAACTCTATTGTTTTTTAGACTTAAACGTTGATTAAAAGAGGTAAAAATTTCTATTTTGTTAGACTTAAACGTTGATTAACACCATAGATTGAGAGTCTATATTTAGTAAAATTCCTAATTGTAATAAAAAAATTAATTTTTGTCATATTTTAGAATATCTTTAAATCCATTATAAAAAAAAAAAAATACAATGAAAAAAGCAAGTCAGCTATATATCGATTTGTTGTTCTCCTCAAATCACATTCACATTTTGGCTACAAGGAAAGAAAACTCATTGATTAAAATATTATTTTGTCAGTAGTCTTAATGTACAAGAGACTTTAAGACTCCACTTGAATATTATAAAACTTTTATTGAACATTGTACAATTTTCTTGCGTATTATAAACTTTTATTGAATATTGCATCTTATAATATAATATTCTCCATATAAATATGACCCGTGCGAAGTACTATAGATATCCCGTATATTTTCTTTATTCATGTATATAATTATAAGTCTGGATAAGTAACCTTAAAATTGTGCACCCCGTGCATCGCACGGGCTCTGTACTAGTCGTTTTAGAACCATGCAACAAAGTAAACTAATATATTTTCAATCAATGCTATGTAAATTAACATGGCATCAAATTTAATTGAACAAATTAGACTAATTCATTGACACATAGTGACCAATTTTTTTGTGTATCATTAAAATACAAATTCTAAACACCTTCTGATTTGTTTGCAAGTGATGTTGCATTCAAATTTTTTGTCTCATTTCAACAAAATAAAGGCAATAAATAAGAAAATTCAATTTGGTAACTAATTAATCAATACCTAATTAGGTTGTATTACATCAAGGAAAATTTCAAAACTAGTCCCACAGGTATAGGAGGGTGACAATTTTGGTCCGACGGAATGCAGAAAATATTAATAGTACCACAACTTTTAAAAAATGATCAAAAGTAGGACTTTTTTGCCGGATTTATTATTTTCGGCCCGAAACGCCACTTGGCGCACACGTGGCTTATTTTTTTATAAGTTGGCATCCGACATGTTCATATTTTTTTACAAGTTGTGGGACTAGTTTTGAATTTTTTACATTCCATCGGGACAAAAAATGTCACCCCCTATACTTGTGGGACTAGTTTTGAATTTTTCCCTATCTACGTCGGATGCCAGCGTGTAAAAAAATAAGCCACGTGTGCGCCACGTGGCGTTTCGGGCCGGAAATAGTAAATCTGACGAAAAAGTCCTACTTTTGATCATTTTTTAAAAGCTGTGGAACTATTCATATTTTCTGCATTCCGTCGGGATTAAAATTGTCACCCCTATACCTGTGGGACTAATTTTGAATTTTTCCCTATTACATCACTTTCCATACATTATTTTCAAATCAAATCTAACAAATTGTCATGGGTTGGCAATGCATGTGATCACCACCCCTATGGTTATGACTATCATGAGTAGCCATCTTTATATAATGAGCCAAAAACATATTTGGTTTTCAAAGGGCACTTCATACAAATAAATAAATTTTTCATATGACATTATTATTAGCAAAATGAAATGCCTACACATCATAAATTTAAATCCAACTATGATATACAATAACCACACTAGAGGATAAGAGATTAAATACACACACACACACACACACAATTACTACTCCATAAACAATCAATAAAACAAGAATTGCAACCAAAATTTTAGCAATGACTATTAATTAAACTCTAAATAGCTTAAATAAAATGAGAAGATATACAAAAACAATTAGACAAATAAAATAAATATGTTAATAGGAGGTTTAAAAATATACTTCTGTCAACCTTATAGAATTTGACTAGAGGGTCTTACCTGTGTGAACCTCTTTGATCCCTTACTTATATTATTAAAGAAGAAATTAAATCGTCTTAATGAAAGTACTATTTCCTGTTGAATAGTTTTTTTTCCTTCTAAATTCATTGTTATGGTGTTCAGAGGAGGGGCATGGTTGTAACTAATTTATTTGATTGGAGTTTGGTATAGAGTGGTGTTTTGTGGGTTAGTGCATAATAGAAAGGGTGAATTAACAATATATAATATTTTGTTAGAGTTGTGTTAATAGTATTTGATCTTAATAGATAAGTGAATAATTTTTGTGAGTTAGTAAATTGATTTATCGGACTATGCTAGAAATGCAAAAAAATTATATATTTTTTTTTTCAAACTAATAGGTATATATATATATATATATATATATATATATATATATATATATAAACAAAAAATATAACAGGTCTGGGTTGAAGCCCAGCCCTTATATGGATCCGTCCATGCTAATTTCAGATGCTTATTTGAGAGTGTTGAGCCATTGATTAGCAAGTCAATTTGTTACTTAAACAACCATTTGATATTCCAATTAATTTTCAAATGAATGGTTTCAATGTACTTAGTTTCCCATGATATGTTTTTGTTTGAATAATTTGTTTATGTTTGACTTATAAATATGCTAGGCCATCATTATTAGCTTACATTGATGTTAGTTGAATCTAATAATTGATATATTTCTTTTTTATTTTGGTTAAGTGCTGTCATTGAGTTGGATGTGTTTAAGTGATGCACCGATCATTTCATCTACATTCATCTTGTATATGTGTAATGTTTGTAGGAAAAAAAACAAGAAAAGCCATGGGCATGGACCAATTGGATAAATTGGAGCTAATTTTTCTATGTGATTTATATGTTTATTATTCTCTCATTTCAGTTTCTCTTTTCAATTTGATATGAAAATTAAACTTATGTGTTGTTATTTCAACTTGAGGGACTATTTGATTTGTCATAGTTATTTTTTTACTCAATTTGAAAAATACCGTGGAGAGACTGTGTATCGTACAACCAAGAGATTCTTAGTATTATATAAGGAAATAGGAAGGTTGTTTTTACATGCGACACGATTGAGCTCCTTTTGAGCTCTTTGCTTTGCATCTCTTTGCCTCAATGTTTTTCCACATTTTTCATTTTTCTTTAATTATTCGGAGGTTAAAACGATAATTTCACAGTTTTTTTCTTTTCAACCACTTTCGTTCGAAATCTAGAGAATTCATTTCAAGATTTTGCAAATTTCGATCTTAGCTGCGACGCTGGAGGCCACAGTTTCATTCTTGCAGTTGAGAAAGGTTAACGTAGATTTCTTTCGTTATTACGGAGGGCACTGGCTGCGTCTGCCCTATTCATCTTATGTTACTTCCTAAAAAATTCAGGTATGAATTGAACCAATTTAGCAACGACGGTGAGAGAGCTTCGAGCTTGCTGGATATCGACGAAGGCGGCGGTGACGAGGCCGCGGGTAGGAAGAAGCCACGTCTGTCCAAGGAGCAGGCGGCGACGCTCAAGGACACGTTGAAGGAGCAGAAAACCCTAAATCCAGTTAGTCATTTTTGTTCTCCTGTTTTTCCTTTTTCTCCACCCCCGTCTGTCACCCACGCATAGATCCGCTCTCTATATTTTAACTCAATTTGACCAATCTTCCAATTCGATTTGTTACCACGGATAACAATTGAATTACAAGACATGTCGATCCTAATTAATAATAGTAGTGATAATGTGTCAGTGGCAGTTCATGCCTCAGTACATCACTTGGTACTGCCTACAGGCTTTCACCCATAGGAAGCAGTGTAAATCCCAGTGCCTTAAGTAGGTGTTGTACGCCCGACCCCGGTAAGGATTTTAGCTTGGGCTGTGATGGGAAGGATGTGGTCCTTCAAAGTCTAAGGCAGTTGTTTGTGTTTAGGGAAGCTAAGAAAGACAGGAAGCCATAGGTGTGGTGGGATTCCATTGCGGATTTTAATTTTAGGTGCCCAATGAAGGGCAAAAAGTACAATGCAAGTTGTGCCAAGGGTGTTATTGAATCTTTGGGTAATATGTTTTGATGTTCTTTGTTTGTGAACGTGCCTATTTAGGTGTGGATTATTTAGTGATTTATGGTCTGTTTGCATTTGGTTCCAGGGCTAGACCTAAGGAAAATTGAGGGACTAATGGACAATACCAATGCTGATGTGGATAATCCCGTATTGAAGGACGTGCAAGAGGCTCAGGTGAAAATATTAGTTGTTGTATCTTTTTGTTTTGCGTTCTTAATGGTTAGTAAATATGTAAACTGTAGTGACTGAGAAGAGAAACTTTTGTACAGCAGAAAAGGGACACGTGTAGATGTAACTATTTTACTAACCCTTCTCGTGAATAACCATGAACATCGAGGTGTGGGAGTTATTTATTTGTGATTCGCATCGAGCATGATACATGCTAAATATAATTGTCTGATGTGGTTCTTATTTTGTATGGAAATTGTATAAAGGTGATATTTTGAAGGCTATATGTGTTGGTTCTTAGGAAACTACTGAGGCAACACTTTTTTGGGTGATGGCGTGTGTTACTTTTTATATATTTTTTTCAATCCTCGAGTACCATGAGCTTTTGCTGAAACTTTTTGGGTGATGATGTATAGATGAACGAGCGCTTCAACGGTAATGGTGGTTGTTAGGAAGACAAGGTAGCTAATATCACGAATGTGGTCTAATGAAATTTGCAGTTTTTGTGTGAAATGTTCTATCATTCTTACATATTTGTTGTGCACATTCAGGATACCTTTCAAGGAAGAGTTTTTGAATGCCCTATAGTCCATGGTGTGCACTTTAAGGGAGATGGGTACATTTTTTTTGTTGGTGCGTAAATATTTGTCTCTTTAATTGTGCACAAGGTTCGAGTCACTTTGGTTAGCACGACAATCTTTCAGTTAGACTATCAATTTGTCTTGGTGCACGTGGTTAACTAGGATTCTGAAGATCTAACATTCTTAAGATGTTGTAAACCATCTTCCCGTGTAACTCAATAACAGTGGTTCATATGCTATTCATGTTTCTCAACCTGTGTTCATATGTCTATTAATATTTGCCTGAAGCTTTGTAGCATCAATATCATTATAAGTATCATGTCTGCTCTTTCTAGGCACTAGAGTAGTGCAATATTTGTGGCAATATCATGGCTGTAGATACCCTCATTTATATTACTTACCATTATTTTGTTGCAAGATCATTAGAGATAGGGCAGTATACAAGATCACTTCTGATTTTATTGAAGTTGCAACTAGCGGTTCTATTGAAGTGATAAGAAGATGTATTCTGCCTATTAATCCAACTGATCCTGAGTGTTTTCATATGTGAGTGTACTTTGTACGAGCATTCATTGGCAGTCATAATTATTTTGTTTCAATCTTTTCATTGGTGTATTTGCTTTCAATTGGTAGGTACTTTGGTTTCTTGGTTCAAATTATCGGGAGATATACTCGAACAGCACTTGGGGCCTAAGAAACATTAAAGGTGATAACTTTTTATTCTAATAATTTTAATAAATATTATCAGAGCTTAAGAGATTAATCACATATAGTTTTTTCCTTCTTAGTTGTTTCANCTTCTTGAAAAACATTTTGATATCTATTATTCTTTTATTCATTTTTTTTTCTAATTACAAGAGTATTAATTCTGAGTAAGTATGTTGTTTGTTTCTACAGTTATCTAATGGGTCTTAATTATATTTGAATTTCATGTTCTTTAAACTAATAAAAGAATGTAAAGGATGGGGGTGCGTATGAATATATGAGTAAAGTGTATTATGTTGGGGAATGATGTACAAATAATCTGTTTGTGTGGTACATGATGTTGCACATTATACTGTTCAACATTGCTTTATTTCATTGTTTTAAAAAGCTATTTTGATGTTTGGTAAATTTGGAGGCATTTTATCAATTTTTCTTTTTGTTCATGCTTTTAAAATAATGATAGTAGATTAATGTTGTTGGGCTTGCTTTGAACTTTGAAAATTAATGTTTCCGGTGTTCTGAGCTTGAAATTTTAATGTTGAGAACTGGATTTCAAGCGTTTTCCTTTCACAGTGAAGGATTTTTCGTTTTATAAATATTTGACATTTTTATTTGCTTTGTTATTTTTATTTTTATTTTTTTATTTTTTTTTAAATAAGAGGAGGGGCCATTCAGTTTTTATACTTATATACACAAAAACAATTGTATCTTATACACATGATACAAGCAAAGTAAGTATACACTTAACACAAATCTTGATGCAAGGGGTTCTGCAAACTTTTGACTATACTATAGGTTTTCTCATAGGTATAATCTCTATGGATCACCTTATGCAATGGGGTGTTATTCTTTTTCAACGCATGTTTTATGTAATGGGGTGTTATTATTTTTTCTAAACATGTATGTGATCTCACTCTACTGCTTGGGAAAAGTACTTTTTCACTACATCTGTTATCTAATTCCTACTTACAGGTTTTTCATTCCATTGATAAAGTACTTCTAAAAGATCACTCCATATAACATTTGTTGTCTTAGTTGTTGTCTTCCATTAAAGATTGTGGGGGTTGACGAGTTAGAGTTGAGTTAGGTTTTGAGTATGAGATAAAAGTGAGTAAATTAACTCATAAACAAGCATGCCCATAGGTTTGGTTGAAACAATATTCACCCTCGAGGTTTGACATAATTACCATAAGAAATCTGGTTATCTCCATAGAATATCTCCTCTTACGGTTGTGGTTCGTAAAGAAGATGACAAATTCAACGGATTTTTGTAACTATGAAAGACTGTTGGGACTTTCGAAATTAGGATAAATTTTCAGGATAATTGTAAAGAAAATGACAAATTTCAGCGGAATTTTGTAATTATGAAAGATTGCTGGGGCTTTCCAAATTAGGCTAAATTTTCAGGAAAAGTTTTCATAGTTGAGTGGGATTGAATAGCCTTTTCTTGATGCAAATTGGTGATATAGTCATGCCCTGAAAAGATTGTGCCTTGGCGATAGCATGCTGTAATGCTGTTATGTGAAAGATGGAAATGGGTATTTTTTGTTTAATAAAACATGAACATTACTTTTTTCTTTTTATTTATCTTTCGGTGATAGTCATGTTTCTGTGTTTAGCTAAAAAAGAATGTCGGGGTTAGGAATAAAAACAATGAATACAAAGATTAACTCCCGACTAATTTCAATATATGGAAACATTTTTGTCATTCTTGTTGTTTAGAGTGCTATCTGTTTTGATTTTATTATATGCTGCATTTGTGTTTTATATTGTGTTGTTTTTGGTTTTTAAATCTCTTTGTTTAACAAGAGGTTTATGTTTTACATGACATGTGTTTTGGGAGTAGATAGATTGTTGAAAAGGTGTGGGTTGGGAGTAGATAGCATGCTGAATAGTTGTGATTAAAACTGAATGAGTTGTCTAATGTGTATATATATGTAGCCAATATTAGTAAACCTGCACTTATATTGTTCAATTCAACACATATAAATGCACAAACAATACCACCTATACTATGCCACCCATTTTTGCAATCCTGCTGATGATCATTGTTGGCCTCTCTTCTTCTTTCTCTTCTTCTTCTGTTGATCCACCAGCCCGTCGCCGTGTCCTTAAAACCAAACTCGTGCATTAAATATCCACTATTTATTTGCATCATAAGCTAGTAAAATACAATTCAGTAAATTGCATTTTTATTTTATTTTTGTTACGTAAATATTGAGTGGATGATCCATCGTTATGGCCACCCAAATGAATCACAGCCGATAAATATACAATAATAAAACATTTTCTACTTTTATCTTATTTATTTAATATATCCGTAGGCTTCTATATAATCACTTTTCTCTCTCTCACTGCACTCTCATATATACTTGTTCCCCCAAAATACAGAGAAAATTATTTCATCAATTTCCTTTTCATTTTCCTTTCAATCTGTTGTACGCTTATACATCACAACAGCAGACCCGGTAAGGGTCTGATAGTCAGTTTCGGCGAGATGCTGATCGACTTCGTGCCGACAGTCTCTGGTCATTGTGAGAAAATACTATCACCGAAAGATAAATACAAAGCAAAAATAATTTTCATGTTTTATTAAACAAAAATGCCCATTTTCATGAGGGCTTTGTGTGCTACAAGGGGGAGATGGAGAGGGACTTGGAGGGTTTTCCGGTGGTGACGCTGCACCTGGGAGAGGGGGCCCACATAGACATGGAAGTGGGGGCCCTGTTTGAGAAGAGGCATGGGGGGGGTGTTCTGCCTGGCGGTGTTGAAGACTACTGGGGTAAACATCATAGGTGTGATGGCGCAGCAATACTACAACGTTGGTTTCGATTTTGATGAGATGAGGATTAGTTTCGAGAGGATCGACTGTGAGGTGCTTAAGGATGATTGATTGGTTGGTTTTGTTGTTTGTTTGATGGCTGATTGGCCCAATTTTTACATTTGGAGTGAGTTGATCCTGAGAAACTTACAATCAACATATTGATGATGATTGATTGGTTGGTTGACTGTGAGTTGCTTGAGGATGATTGATTAGTTGGTTGGTCTTCAGTAGTGATGTGTTGTTTGTTTGATGGCTGATTGGCACAATTTTTACATTTGGAGTGAGTTGATCCTCAGAAACTTACAATCAACTTATTGTTTTTTAAAATGTAATGCACATGAAACTCATAATGTCCTTTTTTTTTTTTTATATAGATTTCAATTGTGTTAGGAACAATGTTGTCATGCTTGTTAGATATGAGATTGTTTAGATCCAACACGCTCCTGGTAAACATATCGATAGGCAGAAAAGGCATCTAAATCAAACTGTCTGGCTCTTGGCTCGGGTGCCGTAATCGAATGGTGGCTACGCGGTGGGCTTGAGGGGGATCAACATGGGGGGGAAAAATCTAAATATATTCATGGGGCATGAAAAAAAATCTTTAATCTCAAATAGTCTCTATATATCACTTAAATTCCCAAACGAATATACTTCCCTAAGGAAAGAGAACACATTTTTTTTTTGAGACTTTTTAAGATTTTTTTTCAGATTTACAAGGAATTGTATGAAATCTTAAATATGGAGGTAAAATTTGGAGAGAAATTTCATCTATGGTTTTTTCTTTTTGAAATCCCAGCAAATCTTAAAAGTATTTACAAATTATAGTCTCAAGTATGTTAAATACCTCATAAATTTGTAAGATTTTTTAAAATATCAAATTAATATTTTCAAACTCTTAACAGCCTAAATTAAATATACTGAGTTTAAAAAAGTATGTATAAATCTCAAATGAATGCACTCACTTTAAAATTTTCAAGGATTCCTTAAACATTTTAAGACTTCCTATGACTTTTAAAAGTCTTATGTATTAATTTGAGATTTTAAAAAGTATTGCAAAATTTTAACATATTCAATTTATCTGGGATTAAGATTTGTTAGGACATTTTAAAATTTAATGAGATTTTAAAAGAAAAAACATAGACGAAATTCCACTTCAAATATTAACTCTAGACTTAAGATTCATAGGACTTCTCATAAACCTGAAAGTTTTAGAAAATCTCAAAATTTCAAAAAGTCTTGAAATGTAACTCAAAATCTCAAATGAATACACCCCTTAGTTTTTAAGTTGTATTGTTTTTAATTTATGGCTCGTTTATTAGTGGTTTTGTATGATCTAATTTTAAGAGTCACATTTTAAAAAAATTAAAAAATATAATCACCTAATAAGCTTTTATTTTTGGGTTTTTTTTTTTGCACCCACTATGAAGGTATATTAAAGTATTCACACCTTCTACTAATAATCTAATTTTTTCGTCCCACAAAGTGCGAGCTTAAAAAGTACGAATGTTATGCGAATTGCTAGCATAATTGTTTCATATCAATTGCATAACTCTTGCATTTTTATCACATAATGCATTCACACTTCAGTTTTTCCACTCCCGAAAGTGTGAATGAATACGCAAATGCATTCACATTTTTGCATATTGCTATTGCATATTGATCGCATAATACTTTCACACCTTTCTGAGTGAAATAGTTAACTTATCATATCAAACGTGTAAAAAACTCCATACATGTCCATACATACTGAGGTGAAAATTACTTTATTTATTATACGAAAAACCTATGAATTAAACAAAAATGAAAATAATTTATAAAACAAAAAGAAAACAAAGAAAAAAAAACGAAAATAGTGTCGAGAAAAAAAAAAAAATGATCTCGTCTGAACGACAAAATGAGATATTTTTAAACGACGGCGAGATATGCTTCGTCATATACTCTGCAAAAAGTTCTCTTATTCTCATCAAGAATCTCAAATTCACAATTATCCAAATAAAAAACACGCGCGCGCACGCATATGTATGCACGCTCATATATACACTTTCATTGAAGCTTGAATCGAATTGAGCTAAAATGGGAACCCTATCCAGCTTGAGTCTCAGCTTAGCCGCTCCAAATTGGGGCGGTTTGGGTGTCAAATTTCAGAATAGCAACAGCAGCAAATGTTTCCTGTGCGGAGATTTTTTGTTGAGGAGGAGACGGCGGCTGGTCTCGGAAGGCGGCTCAGGGAGGTTTAATCCCACAATCAGGTCGTGTTACAATGGCGGAAACAATCGGAACGATGGTAGACGTAGTAATGGTGTTGAGCGAGAGAGTACAGAGAATTCAAATTTAGCTACTGTGGCGCCAGCGGAGAAAAAATCCGTTGATAATGGCGATGAGCCGTCGGTTTCTGTGTCTTCGCGTGTGAGCATCTCTCTCTCTCTCTTTCTCTCTCTCGCTCTCTCTGTGTGTGAACATCTTTAGGCTAGTTGGATAGTAGTTTGGTATAATGAGTTGTTATTTTGGTATAGCAATGTGGTGTAGTAACCAATTTTTATGGGTCTCTAAGCGGGTGATAGCAATATGGCTGCTGGATTTCATTTAATATGTTGCCATAGAAGCAATAGATTTTGTGCTTCCGATAGCAGCATTTGGGGGTTTTGGTAGTGTGTACAGAATCGGTCATGTTGTATGTTGCTTGTAAGAGCAACTGATTGTCGAGAAATCTACTTACTGAGTGGAAAACTAGAAAATGCCGAGTAAAGTCATGATGATGCTCAACTATGTAAGGATGCAAACGAGTTAAGTTCTTTTTAGTTGAGCTGATGAGAATTTTTCTAATTCAAAATGGGCCTTTCCGGAGATGTTCTCCAGCTCAGTGTTTTAAACTATCGAGTTCTGGTTCGCTTAAGAACGTTTAACTTTTAACAATAATCACATTACTCATCTTTTTTTTTTTTTTTCTTCAAATAGTGTAGTTGTTGTATATAATCTGAATTGAATTGTCACATAAGAAACAAACTTATCACCATAGGAAAGTAGTGGATATATTGCTATTATATTACCATTGTGTACTATCTTTCTAGTTTTCTAGTTAAACTGCAATGTATTATGAATTGAAAGCTGGTAGCATGTTCGCCCCCCAAGTTTGAGTCAAGCATCTCTTGACTGGGTGTGTGGTTGGCTCACGGGAGTTGCATGACTTAAGTTCTTTGCACAAAGCGTACTCTTTAAAGGATGGTCGTCTATCGTGTGCACTTCAGTTCTCTAGGATGGTAATCGACTGTGCACACTTCAGTTTGACTGAGAACTTTACATTAAACATCTTTAATTTATTAATTAGTCATGTCTGACGAGTAAATATCAATTTGGGGCTACACACAGTAGAAACTGTAGCCTTGCAGGTGAAGGTGGCGTTTGATTGATAAGAACATAAGATTAGATCATGCATAACATCTGATCAACACCAAAATCTTGGATCACTTAAACCTTTTAAGTTCACTTCAGCGGAAGTTTGAATAATGCAGTCTCTAATACATTTTCTTGTATTTATTAGCCGCAAACAATTTCATCAGTTGGACCTGCTTACAGTAATTTCCAATTAGACTCTTTTAAATTAATGGAGCTGCTGGGCCCGGAAAGAGTTGATCCAGCTGACATAAAGGTTATCAAGGAAAAGCTATTTGGCTACTCGAGCTTTTGGGTAACTCGAGAAGAGCCGTTTGGTGATTTAGGGGAAGGCATTCTTTTTCTCGGCAACCTTCGGGGAAAGAGGGAAGATGTTTTCATGAAACTTCAGAGCCAACTAACAGAAGTAATGGGGGACAAATACAACCTATTTATGGTGGAGGAGCCTAATTCCGAAGGGGAAGACCCACGTGGTGGGCCCCGGGTCAGCTTTGGCTTGCTGCGGAAGGAGGTTTCAGAACCAGGTCAAACAACACTTTGGCAGTATGCGATTGCCTTTCTGTTGTTCCTTCTCACCGTTGGTTCGTCAGTTGAGCTCGGAATAGCATCTCAGGTATGATATATCCGAATGTAATCTGTGTTGGTTGATATGCATGCACGATTTCTTGCATCATAGTTATTGGTCCATCAATTTCATTTTTACATTAGAAGTCCTAAATCAGTTGTGATTTTTATGATGCAGATTAATAGACTTCCTCCAGAGGTGGTCAAATATTTCACAGACCCTAACGCTATTGAACCCCCGGACATGCAGCTCCTGTTTCCATTTGTGGATGCTGCTTTGCCTCTGGCTTATGCCGTATTGGGTGTTCAACTGTTTCATGTAAGCAGTAAGCATGGTCATTTCTCCTCCTCACTAACGTCTTTTAAGGCAAAATAGCGTGGAGTAATGAATCTGCTCCTCCTCCCTCCTGCCTCACCTATCCCTAACTGACAGAACTAGAAGGGCAGGTAAATATAAAAAATGCTAGCCTGGATAGGACGAATTGGCATCAGTAATTAAAGATGAAAGAGGTTCAGAAAAAATAAAAAACACTAGCCTTTGTTTGGCTGAAGGAAAGGTAATACCTGATGTTAAAGCAGTCTTTCACTGTTTTCATTTGAGTTTGGATTCAAGTGTTAAGAATACTTAAAGTCAATGTGTAAAAAGATATTTATACTTACCATAGTCTAAGTACTGCATAATCAAATTGATATTTCGCAATTTGTTTGCTTAATATTTACTATATAGCAGATGCTTTCAATAATAACCAAACTATGTTATGCAATTGACATTTTTGAGGTAGATTCCTTCTACTTTTTTTGTTTTTATTTTGTTGTGGTTCTTCTTTTGAAACTATCATCGGTAGATAAAAGGTGGTCTCACCTATAGGATTTTCATGCCACGCCAGTTTCAGAAATCAATAGCCACGGTGTGCAGGGTCATGTGGGGTTTCTTTTCTTTTTTTCTATTTTGTCTTGGTTTTCGTTTTTAAAGATATTTTAACAATTAGTTTATACGCTGCAGGAAGTTGGGCATCTTTTGGCTGCTTTTCCACGGAAAGTGAAACTAAGTATTCCTTTTTTCATTCCAAACATTACCCTGGGGAGTTTTGGAGCAATCACTCAGGTAAGCATTGTATAACTTGTTTCTACTAGTAACGTCTCCCGTTGCTGTAAATCGTTTTTATATTTTGATATTCATTTATCTTGAGTTTATTGTTGCTTATACTCGTTTATTATGCTGCTCCCCTGTTAAGTTGCCAGCGGGTTCAGCCTACATTTTTAGTAAATCCCCACAGTTGGAATTGAAAAATAGTATTTTGGTTTGATATAATCTGCTCATGTCAGAAAATATAAAAAATAAATACAGTTCGGGTAGCAATAATTGTTTTTTTAGATTGGTTGTCCCTTATACGTTTAATAGAATTTCTTTTTGTAGTTTCATAATCACTTCTGGTATTATATCAACAATGCCATAGCTTAGTTATGTTTTCCCTGGGATGTGAAACTGTGAAAGTTCACATACATACAAATAGGAAGCTATGAATCAGAGCTCCATGGACTTCGTATAGAAATGCTAAAAGTATGCAAATTCAAGTACCAGAAAAATGTAAACTGCTTTCCCAACTGTTTCATCATGTCATCACTTTAGGTCGTTTCACAAAACCGTGAAATCTGCAACTTCATATATTCTGTGAAGAACTAGATTCAGGATGGGTTGGACTTGGAAGATAACATGTATTTTCAATATCATGAATTTCAAATCAAAGTACCAGAAAGGTTAAAGATATCATCTCATCATATTATCACTTCATAATCTTTTCTGCTAATCCTGAAATCTACCAACTTTCCATCTCAAGATCATTGTCACACAACAATAGTCTTTTTTTTTTTCTTTTTTTTTTTCTTNTCTGACATTAGAAAGTGAACCAAGGATGTTTGTTTCACTTTTAATGGCCTTTAGGTCTTAATTATTGCTTTCTTCTGTAGTTCAAATCAATCCTTCTTGATCGGAAAGCCCTAGTAGATATTTCGTTAGCTGGACCATTTGCAGGCGCTGCACTGTCTTTCTCTATGTTCACTGTTGGCCTGCTGCTCTCATCAAACCCATCTGTGGCAGGAGAATTGATTCAGGTCCCAAGCATGCTTTTTCAAGGTTCTTTGCTTCTCGGTCTTATCAGCAGAGCTTTTTTGGGTTATGCGTAAGTTCCTTTTGTGCAGAATTTTCTATAAAGGAACTCTAGTATAATTTAACTGAGAAGAAGTACTCTCTCTCTCATATGTTTGTGCAAGTGTTTTACTTATATATTCATGCAATATTGTCTGTCTCGTAATAATATATTGACATCTCTCATTTATATCTACAGGACTTTGCATGCATCTACTGTTTCAATCCATCCTCTGGTGATTGCTGGCTGGTGATGTGTCTGTGGAACTTAAATTCATATTATACTTTGAAGAGAATGCTTAATGCTGAGCTCTGTGTTTGTAGGTGTGGATTGACATCCTCAGCTTTTAATATGCTACCCGTGGGATGTCTCGATGGTGGAAGGGCCATGCAGGTAGCTGTTCTATTTCCTCACCCAATCAAATGTTTTGTTTCTATTTATTTTCATCAATATGAAGTATGGTGATTTGACTCAAATGAATTGCAAAATAATCTAGAGTACAGTACTTCAGTTTCTTTGGAATTTTTATATCCTTTTGATTAAGTATGTCTTTTTAATTCAAACTATTGTGCCTGGCTGCCTGTGCTTGACTAATACCTTGACCTCGTTGTCAGGGGGCTTTTGGGAAAACTGCACTAATATTTTCTGGTTTGGCGACATACAGCCTGCTTGGTTTAGGAGTGGTATGATTCATCTTTGCATCATTAAGTTCCAGTGAAGTTCAGAATCTCGCGTTCTGTTAAATAATTACGTTCTTTCTCAATTTTCTTTCTCCCTTACTGATTTCTGCAATTCTAAGCGACCGAATGATGACATTGAATGAATTGAGGGTTGCATTTAGATGGAAGAATTTGCTAAAAATGATTTCACGTCCGTGATTCTTGTATCGGGCTACTTTTTGAGTCATTTCCTTCGGTTCTTTCAATTACTGTCCACAGTTTCTGTCCCCAAATTCGTTGAAGCTGTTTGGTTAATTTCAAAATCAGATAAATTTCAAATCCTTGGTTCCTATTTCGAGTTTTTCAATAACACCGTTGTATTTCACACCGATTTTATAGTCACTCGTTTGAAATCCTTCCCACAAGTTCTGTCCTCAAATCCAATTTGTTCACCCATGCAACCTCAACAAAATTTCCCCTTAAACAGAATTGAAGTAAATTTCAAGTATATACTATTGGGTTTGATTGGGTAAAGCTTAGCTCTTCCTACAATGAATTTCGAATTCATAAGCTCCTACTTTTGAGCTCAAATCCACCTTATATGGAGTCAGTTGAGATCTTTCTCCACAAATCTCCTCAAAATCAAAATCCAAATTTCAATTTAGGATTTATATGCAGTTTCTAATTGCTTTAGATCTCATTTTCTTTCCTCCATCAGCTAGGTGGACCCTTGTCACTTCCTTGGGGACTATATGTGCTGATATGTCAGGTATGCAGACGATCATAAGCTTTGCAGTTTGCATATATACTATTGAACAAGAATAAGTTGATAAGATAAACGAACATGATTAAGTTAATAAAACACATTAAAAAATGCAGAGAGCTCCCGAGAAACCATGCCTGAACGATGTGACAGAAGTTGGGGCTTGGAGAAAAGCAGTTTTTGTGGCGGCAACTGTACTTGTAGTGATGACTCTCCTTCCGGTGTGGGATGAGCTGGCAGAAGAGTTGGGTATAGGGCTCGTAGCCTCGTTTTGATTATGCCATTTGAGCCCAAAGGCCTTCTTTTTTNNATGATGTGAAATTAGTTATTTTTTGTCTGTGTAATAAGTGGCTCGAGTGGTAAGTCCTTCCGTATTAAGTATATATATAATGGAAGTAGGGGCGACAATTTAGGTTCGTCTCGGGTTTGCAGGTCAGATTGTGAGACAAATTGCACTATATGTTTCTTGTTGTGCCAGATATTGTCACCCCTAAACAATATACAACACAAATTTGAGGCAGGTGATTTTTACCCCTGTTATTGGGGAGTTCTTTTGCCCCATTTTGGGACTACAACATATGTTGATAAGTGAAAACGCTATTTCACTATGATTTAGCATGAATGTAATCATCTATTTTGAAAGTTGTGTGAACCAGAAACTTGAAGGCATCATGAACTTTACAATACCACAAGTTTGAATGATCAGAATATAGCTCGATAAAATGTTAGTATGAATTTTTTTTAATAATGGGATTATGGGACCCCTTTGTGTTCATAATATAGGAGAGGATAAAATATTAGTAGGAATTATTTTAACTTTTAATAATGGGATTATGGGACTCCTTTGCTTTGTGTTTATAATATGGGGAGTGAATTAACAGAGGTATCAATTAGCAGAATAGAATACAATACCTGTTTCGATATTCAGAGATTGAATGGCCATAACCATATAAATCCATAACTAATAAATGAAAAGAAAAATAAAATACGAAGTGATTGAGTGGCCATAACCATAAGTCCATTGTCCATATCTAAAGAATGAAAAGAAAAATAAAATATGAAGCGATGTTTGAAAAATAAAGGGAATGTGGGGACGAGAACGTGACTCGTGAGACAAAGTTTAATTTATCTTTTTATTTTTATTTTTATTTTTATTTTATTTTTTCCGGTTTCGTGTCCTGCATGGGCCAAGAATATTGCCAATTTTGGATTAGTGTTAAGAAAAAAATATATAAACATATAAATATATATTTTATTATGAATGATTAAAAGTGTTAAACGATACGAAACCTTCGTCTCAGTTTATTAAAACTCAAGTTTAGCTCATTAATATTTAAGTTCGACTTGTTAATATTAATAAACGAATAAACAAATTTGAGCTCAAACTTAAGTATTACAGTGTCAAATTCGACTCATTACAGTGTCAAATTCGACTCGATTCGTTTAAGCATTGTTTCACCATAGGAAACAAGACTAAAATATTTAAATGGCTGTTGCATGATAACCTAAACATTTAGCACGAGTACACGACGATCATCATATGTACGTTGAGAATCAAATCAATTTAGTAATTTTTATTTATTTATCTTCATTTTACGCTTAAAAATAAAAAAATAACAAATCAATAATTAATTCAATAAATGAATAAATAAAGAATAACAATAGGACCGCGTCACAGTAACTGGCGGCAAACAAATATAACCAATTTCCTCACTGTCTTGCAACTTCTACTAATCATTGACCTTGGGGCAACCACCAATTTTTTATTTACTATATTTTAATATTTTATATACTTAAATTAAATGAACATAAATTCTGTAAGTATCTCGTATCTTCATCATCTGCCTCGGCTATCTTTAAGCTGAATCAACTGTGCAGCAAGGCGCAGAGATCCAATACCCATTTTCCCTTAATTCTATCCTTTCAAGACTCCATTTTGATTTGCTCTTTTTGAATTTTGGGCACAAAAGGCCTCCTGCTAAAGATTCTATTCCGGAGATGGACTTGTATAAGTAAAACCATAAAAAGGAAAACCGTATTTATTTATATCCGTGTACAGGCAACAAATTGTTTGCTTTATCTATTCTGGCAAGAAAAAAATTGGATTTCTGGGAAGACCCAGTTGAGAAAAATTTACTTTTTGTGGTTATGTGATGGGGTTTAGTGATGGGAAAAATAGTGGTGGTATTGAAGCTTTGAGGAGCTTGGTGAGGAGGAAACAGGTTGATTCTGCTCGTAATAAGTCATCATCTTCATCCGGGAGTGGTAATCATCGTTTGGCTAAGGCTTTAACTGTACCTCACCTCATAGCCGTTGGTAAAGATCATCTTTTCCGAACATTTATTGGGTCCAAGTTTGTTGGGTTTCTTTCTTTACTGTTATTTTCATTTGGAATTCGAGTTGTACGGTTTGGATTACTTTTGTCTTCTTTGTGGGAAGGTTCAATCCTAGTGGCCTCAAAGGGTTATTTTACCGTTGGATCACACGCTTACACCCACCCACATGGATGTGTGTTGATCCAACGGTGAAAACCTCGATTAGGACACTACCCTCACAGATAGGCATGAATTTTCCCTTCTTTGTGTTGGTGTACTGTTGGCCGCTTGCTTATCTGAAGGTGGTACTGATTCTTTGGATTTTACATTTACTAACCATTTAATGTTATATGATTGGGTGGGACTTTGTTGGTGAAGTAAATTACGGTTTATTTATTACAAAAGGATATTATGCAGTTTTGTGTGTCTGAAGTCCAGCCTTTTCCCCCCATATTTCTTTATATTTTATAAAACCTGTTTGTTGAGACAAAATACGTCTTGTCATGAATTCTTGATGTTTATAGATCAAGGGAGTTTAAATATGGGCTTTACCATGTAAATTCTGTCGTGAAAATGCACGGAGATGGAGTGAATGGTGGTATTTGCCTAAGTCAATATTTTTATGGATTTTGTTTGAACTTGTAGGAGTTGGGTCAACAATTGGAGCTGGAGTTTACATTCTTGTTGGTACTGTTGCAAGAGAGCATTCGGGTCCCGCCTTAACCTTTTCCTTTCTGATAGCTGGAATAGCAGCTGCTCTTTCTGCTTTCTGCTATGCCGAGCTAGCCAGTCGTTGCCCTTCAGCTGGAAGTGCCTATCATTATTCTTACATATGTGTTGGCGAGGGGTAATTTTTGTTATGGAAATTGATTAGTTACTATGATTTCCTTAAGTTTATTCTATTTAAGAAAAATAAATACCAGCTATTGTTCAAATTATTAATGCTCGCATAAGGTTTATCTTTGTTTTATACTTGGAAACTTAGCTGTTTCTGCTGTTGGTGGTGCTGGTCTTTTTTTTTTAAAAGAAAGAAAATAATCAGTTCTCAAAAATTATCTGAAGTTTTATACTCTGTAAAGACATTTCTGATTCTAAAGCATCCTGAATTTTAACATAGAATTGATGTAATTTCTTCTATTTGATACTCTTTCATTGTCTCTTAGCTTGCTGATAAGCATGGAAACAAATGGTGCTATTTTAATTTCCTTTTTTCATTTCCCATTTAATTTCTCATTTTCTTTTGTTATTTTGTGTTATTTTTGCTTTTCATTTTCTTACACAGACATTTCATAAATTCTTGGTATCATATCAATTGTAGATAATTTTCCTTATAGAATTTTGTTTAGGGGCCTGTGGGAAGTACAGAGTTTGTCTCCCACATGTTATCCTCTATCTTATTGGAAGGACTGTCTTAACAAATCTGCTTATTGTTTCTTAGACTTCCAGCGAAATCAATATAAATGTTAATTCCGTTGTTTTATGCAGAGTTGCTTGGTTGATTGGGTGGGCTTTGATCTTGGAATATACTATAGGAGGTGCAGCAGTTGCTCGTGGCATGTCCCCTAATCTGGTATGCTTCATTCTCAGTTCTCTAATTTTTATCATATCTTGTGAGTGTTTCATGATTTATGTCGAATGATCAAAGTATCACTTAACCAATTGAATTGGCTTTCCTAGTTCTTTAGAAGAAAAAAATAACCGGTCTCTCTTAAGTTATGTTGTTTGGAATAGTTTTGCTTCTAGCTGAAGGCGTGTTGCTACAAGGGTATAGCTGTACGATAACTGATACAATCAGATATTGAGCCTATGGTTGGAATGGTTCTCAGGCTCCTATAATACAACAATTTTTCATTATATGCATTCCATAGCCTGTGTAATCTGTCACTGTTTTCTATCGATTTTCTTTCATCTGTAAGTCCTTTCATCTTGATCACCACGATTTTGTTTTGCCGATGATGACACTTGGACTTGGATATAAGATGTTTTGATTTGGTTTGGATTTTTTAGTTTGGTATGGTTAATTTTGAAAAAAGTGGTATGATTAGTTGTTAGTGAGATTTGGAGTTTATATTAAAATAATATTTAAAATAAAATAATTAAAGTTGATTTGATGTAAAAGTAGGAGAGAGATGATGTGAAGTGATGGTTAGTTAAAATTATGTGAGTAGATAAATAGTGAATTGAATTTGATGTAATGTGTTAGAATAAATGAGTGGTATTATTTAATTATATCGATAATATTGAGGATAGTGAGGTTAAGTTAAAAGTTAAGTTAGATTTGAGTTAAAAAAAGTGATTGGCTAAAAATGATTGGATTTTTTTGGAAAAATTTATTTTCAAGCATTGGGATGTTTAAAGTTTTATGGAGAGCTTCCTCCATTTAGATTTTCTTTGTAACTGTCCTTAACTAGTTTGCCGATAAATCTCTTTTCTAGTTCGAATTTGCCACCAAAATCCAAATTAGCGGGATATTATTTTCAAGAATATGTGAGGCATTTCAAGCAAGACTTTTAGTTCAGCTTAATACCTGTTTAAATTTATGCGTCGAGTGATAAATATTTCGTAGTGACTGATTTTCTCACCACTCCACTCAGGCTTTGCTATTTGGAGGCCCAAGTAGTCTCCCTTGGTTTCTAGCTCGGCAGACCATCCCTGGAATTGGGGTTGTGGTTGACCCGTGTGCAGCCATCTTAGTTCTCTTGGTCACTGGACTTTTGTCTATGGGGATCAAGGAGGTCTCACTCTAACGAAATCACTTTTTTTTTTTTTTCAAGGCTAAATAAATAACCTTTTACCACTCAAACTATTACGAAATTTGTACCATGTAAAACTTTGTTGTTTTTTCGTAATGCCCCCTGAAACTATCTTGAAGGCGGTTTATTTTTATTTTTTATACCAGAGTGCGGAAAATCATCATTGCGTGTATAAAATGCTGGAAATTCCATTTTTCGGCCACCTCTACGCCTGAAATTTCTGCACAGCCTTCTAAACCGACAATTTTCTCTTCTAAACCATCCGATCCCGGAAACAATTTCGATAACCTTCATNCGGGGGCAATCCAAAGTGCGGCAAAGTTTGCATGGGTTTTTTTTTTAAAGAAAAAATAAATGGTAAGTTAAATTTCGTGATAGCTTTAGTGGTAGAAAGCAGTGTATCGTGGTAAAAAACAGTGTTATCGAATATTTAGGCAAAAATTAGTTACTCTTTTTTCAATAACCCTCTTTAACCAATGTTGAAATTTACATCATTAACCTTCTTATTACATGATTTGTGCACAGAGCACATCTGTACAAGGAATTGTCACAGCTGCAAATGTTTGCGCCATGACTTTTGTTATCACAGCTGGTGGATATTTAGGCTTCAAGTCTGGGTGGCCTGGTTATGAACTCTCCACAGGGTATTTCTATTTCATACTAAGTGACTAACAGCTATTAAGTACAAAAAACACACACAAAAGAGAAATCAAAGAAATACACGAACCACGTTTCTGTTACACATCATTGAAACTATAAGGTCTATTATCATTCTTTTCTTGGCATGTGAACTTTTATTTATAAATCTTTTAACATTTGATTTTTTAGATATTTGCCATTTGGGGCCAACGGGATGCTTGCTGGTGCTTCAACTGTATTCTTTGCATATATAGGGTTCGATTGTGTCGCTAGTACAGCTGAAGAGGTATGAATTGTTGTCTTTCTTGACTTTTTTATAATCTTCCGGATAATATATATAATATGTACATATATTTTTCATTTACAGGTGAAAAACCCTCAACGAGATCTGCCTATGGGTATTGGTTTTGCTATTTCTATATGTTGCACCCTTTACATGCTGGTTTCTGCAGTTATTGTTGGTTTAGTGCCTTATTATGCAATGGACCCGGACACCCCCATCTCGTCTGCTTTTTCGAGTCATGGAATTCATTGGGCATCGTAAGTATATATTTATCTATGGCTCGTTTTACCATTTGATATCCTTTCATTTACGTCAAACCTTTTTAAAATTATCTTATTATTTAATGCAGCTATATAATAACTGTTGGAGCATGTTTCGCTCTTTGTTCAACGTTGCTGGGTTCAATGCTTCCACAGGTACTATTATAAACTTTAAAAGTTTGATTCATATATAAATTTTTACTCTATTAAACTTAGTATAATGTGTAAATGTGAACCACTGTCTTATGAGTTATGAAGAATAGTTCTCGTTTGGCCTTTGGGGATCATACCTATGATAATTGTTCCTTGCAAATTATCAATGAAATTGTTCGTATTAGCTGCTTCAGCTGAGCTCTCTTTATTGTGAACCGGTGTGCTTGTTATTATGCTTTAACATCTCACGTGCTTAAAGATTAAACTATATTAAGATAAATCCAATTAATTTGTTCACTTCATTTCGTGACGTATGATAAAACATCTTCAAAATTTTGCTCGTCTTTGTTTATCAGCCGCGAATACTTATGGCTATGGCCAGAGATGGACTGCTTCCATCATTTTTTTCGGATGTGAATAAAAAAACTCAAATCCCTATGAAGAGCACTATAGTGACTGGTGTACTAGCATCAATCTTGACACTCTTTATGGACGTGGAGCAATTATCGGGAATGGTATTTGCTACTCTCTCTCTCTCTCAACACACTCATATTTAGATTGACCAGAAATTTGACTTTCAGGTTAGTGTTGGTACACTTCTGGCATTCACAATGGTGGCAATCTCGGTTCTTATACTGAGATACGTTCCACCTGACGAGGTCCCACTTTCGCCATCCTTTCGGGAAGCTATAGATTTTGTCTCCATGCGCTATAGTATGAGCAATAGTCCCGGAGATGCTGACGTGGCACCCGTTCCAGTTTTAGCCAGCAAAAAGACGAGGATTGAGGATACACTTATCGAGAAAGCAACTGGACAGTTAAACAGTAAGTTCGTTTAACCGTTTATGATGCGTAAAATTTTTTCACTGTTTGCATAAGGAATATATACCCATGTTCTTTTTGACTGGAAATTTACCTCACTTCATTACGGAATGTTTATTTATTCATTTTTTTTCTTTTCAGGTCGGTCATAGTTGAAAGTAATTCTTACATTTTGCCAATGTAATCGATTTCTTGCTTACATTATCTTGGCTGCTGTTTCTTGCCGAGCTAACATGTTCTTTTCGAGCTAATTTTCAATAAAATCATTAAAAGTCGCTGTATGTTTCCATATATGTTGTTGAATTGATAACTATCCAAATTGCTGAAATTTCTAAAAAATTTGAAATATGGTTATGGAGGCTCAACATCTTTGGAGATATCATTATACACACCGCAAGATTATCATAAAAAAGTTTCTAATAAATTTATCTTTAACTATGTAAATATCTCCACTCGGTCTTTGTTTTCTCATTATGCCTTTTTTTTTTTTTCTCATTTATTTTGCAAGGCCAAATGAACGAGGCCAAGCGAAGGAAGATTGCTGGCTGGTCGATCATGATCACGTGCATCGGCATTCTTATCTTTACTTTGTCCGCCTCAAGTTTGGGACTTCGTAGGTTTGTTAGCTTTGTTATATCAACTCAACTCCCGGTTTTCATTAATTTCCAATTTTTTTTTTTCAAAAATCAAACGTCTCGATTTTCACCAGCCTGTTTCGGTTTACGCTTTGTGGAATTGGTGGCGTTCTCCTTGTGTCTGGATTGCTTTCGCTAACGTGGATAGACCAAGATGACGAGAGGCACAATTTCGGGCACACTGGAGGTACTATTTTTGTGTTGATCTTATAATGAAATTCTCGGGCGACATGCAAATTAAACTCGTTTATTTATTTTGTCGTGTCCTATTTGATTTCCTCATTTTTTTTATTTTTTTTTTTGTTTTTTTTTTTTTCCTTTCAGGCTTCATTTGCCCGTTCGTTCCAATGTTACCTATTGCCTGCATTTTGATCAACGTCTATTTGTTAATAAACCTCGGGTGAGTTCTCTGACCTTAAATGTTACCTATTGCCTGCATTTTGATCAACGTCTATTTGTTAATAAACCTCGGGTGAGTTCTCTGACCTTAGCTATTTTCTTCACTCGAGGGCACCACTCGGAATGGCAAAATTGCATTTTTTGTCGTTTTGGTTTAACGTTATAGCAATTTTAGTCTCAAGGTTCTAGCATTTCGGTCCTGTAATTTAGCATTTTGGTCCTGTAATTTACTAATATTTTGCTGCGAGGACTGAAATTGCAACAAATTCCCAAATTCCAATATTTTCGATTAGCAATTTAAGTCATGTAATTTAAACTTTTGTTGCAATTTCAGTCCTGTAATTTACAAGTTTGTTGCAATTTCTATTTTTGAGAATTGAAATTGCAGCAAAATATTAAATCACATGATCAAAAATGGAAAAATTGGAAATTTTGGACTAAAATTGCTATGGCGTCAAACCAACCGAACTAAATTTGCATTTTTGCCTAACTCGGAGTTTAACTGAGATAGCCAAGCATCCGTAGTTTGTCGTTTAGGGAAATTACATCAGCATTAATACTATTTATATCTAATTAACTGTGTCGTAAATATGCAGTGGTGCCACCTGGGCACGCGTGTCTGCCTGGCTGGCTGTTGGGGCACTCGTTTACATTTTTTACGGCCGTAAAAACAGCGCGTTGCAGGATGTTGTTTACGTCCCTGCAGCTCATCTGGATGAGATATATGAGAGCCACAACACTTTCACGTGATACGGAAAATCTCTCAAATTCGAAAAAAATAATGAAAATTTTTCGATTTAATCTGTGTTTCAAATCTCAGAAGCACAGCAATAGTTACTGTTATGTTTTTGAATATGATGTTTTATAATTGCATTTGTATTGTTATGTATTACGTAGTTCAGTTTCAGTTGTAGCAGAAAGGAGTAAAGATTGTGAGAAATGTGAGAGTTATTTGTCAATATGTGTAATTAATTTTATAGTTTTTGCTTTTGTTTTGGGATTTGTACCTTCATTTGTAAATAGTGCATAACTTGGTGTTGAAATGGGTGTTTGTAATTTTAAAGCTTTTAGCATTTTCATTATTTATTTCTTTTTCACAGTAGAATATACATGTGGGAAAAAATATTATAAAAATAGTCTTTATTGGTTGTAATAAATGTAAAAGTTAATAAAAATTAATGTTTGTGATACTAATTAGAAATAGGTGAAGAACATGTAGAACGGATAAAATATAAGATAAAACTTATGTTTTGATCACATTAGTTCAAGTTGATGTTGTTTTTTAAGTTATGATATTTTAGGATGTAAAGTTGTCAAATAGTAGTGTTTTCTAGTGTATAATGATAAATTTGTAATGAATGACACAAGTTTGAATACATATATTTTTTTTTCCTTCAATAAAATGTAGAATTTGGTCTGATTATACTTTTATTTAAGCTCCTTTCATTAATAAGCAAACGAAAGTTCAAATAGTTACTAATAAATTCAATTAAAATTCAAACTAGCACCAATAACTATATTTTACCCTATTTTAGTATTTTTGGATTTTTCATCTTCATTATTTATTTATTCATTTTACCAATTTCTACAGATATCGTTGAGCAAAGGTCCTGCACCAAATTTAGAAAAATAAAAAAATTAAATTGCGAAATTTCAACACACCACCCAAAAAAAAATAAATAAATAAATAAATAAATAATCAAATCAAATCAAATCGAACCGTATTAAATTATTTTTCGATTTTGGCTCGTTTTTCTCAGTCATGCACCTTTCAAAATTTAGCGCCTTCTCGAAGCGTAGTACCTTTTAGGCTCTGCCCACAACCTTCTGCAATTTTCAATCACTGCGAATCGAAGCTCTCTCTCTCTCTCTCACACACACACAGAGCATACGTGCATACAGTATACATATACAGGCGCATGTATCTATATACCACTTTACGCAACGCTGCTAGTGCTCGTCTTCGCAATTGAGGTAACAATGAGTATCCGTGGGAATCGTTGTTCGTTCGACTCGGTTAGCGTAACTTCTGACTGTATAATTTCTGCAATTTTCCTTTTCACTTTACGAATTAGAAGAATTTATTTGCGATTCGAGTTGCAGCAATTAGCGGTAGGTTTATCTCGTTTGCTGTTCAGATTTGTGATAATAATTTGCACAGACCACCAGCCATCAGTGTAATTGGTCACTGCGTCATTTTTTTCATCGTCTTTGTTGTCGTTGGATTAATTGTTGAAGTTGATATGATGATTGTGAAAATTGATGACACGAACCATTTAATGTTCTGTCTTCACTTTTCCCCAAATCTGCAGTTTATTGATTTTATTGTTATGTTAAATCGAAATAGTAGCATAATCTCTGGTATGTCGGAAGAGCATGTTGAATATTAGAATCTGCAGCCGAATTGCCGGAGATGGTAAAATGCAGAAATAGTTAAGGCTTGAATAACTTTTCTGTAAACTTTCAGAACTTTTTTATCCAATCAGAAGAACACATGGTTCAACTAGAGGCTTCTGATGCAATGTACTTCTTGTTAACTATAAAAGTATATAGCATCTAGTTTCGTTTTTTTTATGTACTCTGGGATTCGATTGACCATTGAACTACTTTCTGTTGGAATTATCCAGTTCTACGTTTTTGCCTTCAATTCTTGGTTTAGATTGACTATAGACTAAGTTTCCAAAATCTAGCCAAGTAGATTAGTGAAACCTAAGTATACGGATGGTGTATGTGTGTGACTAGGAGGCAGTGAACTGCCTTTCTCAGGTTGTATTGTAAAAAAATGTGTTCATGTTGTTTATGATATATTTGACAGATAATACCTGAAATTATTAGCTCTAATAATCTGCATGATCTGTATGAAATGGTTATCTGTCACTAGATTCATCCAGGAATTTTTTCATTGTCCTGCTGAATTGCAACTGGCTACTGATTGCTTGCAGAAAGGCAAACAGCAATAACTGGAGACCGAGATGGCAGAACATCAGAAAAGAGATTCTTTTTCTATCAGTTCAAAGGAGAAGAGTTCGTTGCTAGGTATACTCTCATCTCTTATTGTCTATCATTCTTTAAGAATATATGAAAATTCTGCAGATTAAAAATTATTATGTGGCATATTAGTGCATGAATTTTTTTTAACTTTTTTCTGTTTTAGAAAGAAAAAAGTAGAGGCGTGACATGTCTATAGCATCGAATTATTGGAAAGTATGCTAGTGGGATGAATGTAGACTCGTAAAAACCCTTCTCGTGTCAGACTGTATTACCTCATTTTCTAAGGTTTATGTGATCTTCATTTGAGACGTAAGTTATAACTCATTCCATTCTCATTTATGCTTAATGCAGATATGGACTTTGGGAAGGACTTTCTTAGTTCATGGAAATCAATCTCAATAGCTGAGAGGGATGAAATGGATTTTGATCTGACTCCTGGGCCTGGCAATAAGAAGACATTTAAGTTTGATAAAGCGTAAGATAGGATTTATGAATTTTATTAGACTATTCATAATCTCTTCTGCATAGAAATTCAGCTTGATATTATAGGAACTTTAATGATATGTGAGGAGAAAATTATCATGGTATTTACTTGTTAGTTGGTATCTGGGTTTGATGTCCAAAGTGCATTTTATTAAGGTTTTTTTTTTCTTGTTAAATTATGTACTTCTTTGCTGATATTATGTTCTTGGTGAAGTTTATTTTAAAAACAACAGCTGTATATAGGATGTGACTGTAAGTTTGCAGTGACATAGTACAACTCCTAGCTTACTGATAAGGTTCTGCTTCCAGGGATGTGGATTTTAATTTGGATGGTGATTTTGGAAAAATGTCATCTTTCAAGATGGATATGTCTGATCTGGATATCTCCCCTCCACTTAAAAAGGATGAAAACCCCAAGGAGAAGCCAAAAGAATCGTCATCCAGTGGAAAGGATAAAGGAAAAGCTGACCATTTTGCTTTTGCATTTGACTTTGATGAGTGAGTCTGCAGAAGCTGTCATGCTCCATTTATGGCGATCATATGACCTTGAGTATCATGCATTGACATTTTACTTTCTCTATTTCCAGGTTGGACAATTTCAATTTCGAGTCAAATTTAACAAAAGATGTCTCAAAAGCTGAAAAAGACAAAAATAAGGAAGGTACTTCTCTGAGTGGAAGCGGGTGTCAAGAAGAGGAAGGTTCCATGCACAAGAAAGATATTAGAAGTATGACCGTTTCAGAAGATTGGGCACAAAATGCATCTGTAAATGGAACTGCGATGAATGTTGATATGGATAGCCCGGTTGGAGAAGATGCAGATCATGAACCCATACTCCCTTCTAAATGTGCAATGGATGATGATGATACTCCAGAACATTCAGCTGCTATTCATGAATCCGATAAAGCAACGAGTCATTTTGATACAACAATTGATTTCATGGAGGTACTTAAAGTGGGTCCATCTGAAAATTTGGTTTCAGCCAAACCAGTTCAGCTTGAAGGTTGTACTGGAAATGATGATGGCAAAGATAAATCATCTGATTCGCACTTTATCAATGAGCCGACTGGAGACCATTCATCAGAGGAACATGATGACGCTAATTCCGTGAGTACGAACACAACTAGTTCAAATCGAAAACAAGATTTTGATCATACGTCTATTGACAGTTCATCCTGTCATTACAAATATGCAATACCTGTCAACTCACACCTCCTCCATACTGTTGAGATTGCTGAGGAGAATACTGGTAAAAAGAATGAAGTTGGGGTTGAAGACCATGTGATGAACAACCGAGACAGAGTTGAAGTAGGTAAAGTTAAATCACTCGTTGAGAGTTCTTGTGCCACTAGTGCTGTGCCAGGAATACTCGGTGACAAAACATCTACCAGGGAGAAAAATTTGGAGATTTTGAAGTCAAACTTTGTCGGGTAAAGATTATGCTCTCTTTCTGTTTCTCCAGTAAAGTGATTGAAAGAAAAATTGTTTCTTACATGGAATATTCTTGTGGAAATGAAAACCATTTTGTTTTCAAAAAAGAAAAAAAAAAGGAAAGAAACTGATCCATGATTTTACCCTGTTGCAGTCAAACAGCTGATCTGTCAGAGAAAGAAACAGATGAAGGAAGAAAGCCAAGTGCACCCTGCTCAAAATCTTTCATTCAGACAGAGAAACCAGTATGTCCTGCACCGGATGTCTCAAACCAGACAATATTTGCCCCATTAAGTACTAGAAAGATGGGCACCCTTCAACCCAGTCTAGTTGGACGGAAAAGGTGTTATATTTTGAATAATTCAATTTTACTTTGTAATAGTGTTTCGTTTGAGATAATGTTGTCTAATATGAAATAGAGAGGGCGTGGTTAGTACTCAAAGTGATACAAGAGTAGCCCCTCTCCCCTTGCAATATTCCAAACTAGTGAAAACACAGCTAAAGGAATTTCCCAAGATACAGAAGCAGGAAAGCTATGTGGCTCTCAAGGTCCCCAGGTGAGCTCAACACGTAACACAAATCTATGTTTCAGTTAAAGTGTCGTTGTTTTTGTCATATTAGACATAGTACGAATATGGAAGACAATGATAGACAGTTTACTTTCAGTAATCTGATGTGCAGTGCTGAGGGGCTAGAAAATGGGAAGAAGCTGAATGATTCTTCTAGCGCACTAGGTAAGGAGACAGAAACGACAAAAGAGAAGAGCGTGAAAGATACGGATGCTCTTAGGTTCGTTATTCCTTTTCTACTAACGATTTGCTACTTATATTTCAGTTTGAACTATGTCGAATGATACAATGATTTTCAGAAACTAAATAATACTCAAGTGGTACTACATTCTCACATTGTGTAATTCACTGTTTATTGTGACAATTCTCTTCCTCATATATAAAACAGAATGCTTCATTTAAACTGTATTGGAAGTGCATTTGACACTAATTGAACGTTTTGAAGCTGACATTTAGAGAGTGCAGGACAAGAAGGAGTATTGGCCGGCTTTTGGATTTGACTATGTCCCGGGACATTTGTGTAAAATACCATCTGGAATCATGTCCACTATAAGCTTGATTTTACCAGGATTAAGGATCTTTGATTAGATAAATTACCAATATGGTGGACTGATACTGTTGAAACCAGACAAGATTTCTGAGGAACATAATTTAGTTTGTTAACTTTTCAGAAACTCTGGCTCTTCCTTTTCCTTGGAGGTGAACAAAAATGCAGAACAGAAGGGTGGAAATCCAATTTCCTTCGCAGCTATTCGATTAAGTAATAAACAAATTCCTGCTGAAGAACATAATAAGCTTTTCTCGATTGAACGTGGTAGGAAGACCCCTGAACCCCCAGGCGTGAAACTCCAATGGTAAGTCCATCTTGATTTTCGAGTTTTACCATGGTTCGGATGTAGGGGGAAAAATATAAGCAATAAATCTTTTTCTCTTCTTCGATCTTTCAAAATTTTCAGTTTAAACATTGAGTCAACAAAGCCCGCAATTCAGAAAGATATTAATCCGATTGGAAGCACTGTTCAGAACAGGGTTTTATTAAGGAAATCAACATCTGATATTGCTCATTCGTCAAACGCCAAGAAGCAAATACCTACTGCCCAATCCACAAAGAGAAAAACACCGGAGGTAAATAAAGCATAATGATGACTGTTATATCTTCTTCCGATTAAAATGTCGTTTTTGCAACAGGGGGTTACCACAAACATTAGTGTCTTGAATCCATCCAAAAGACTCATCCAATCACCTACTGCTAGCAGGTTCAAGATATTCCATTCAATATGATAATTGGTTTTAAAAAAAAAAAAAAAAAAAAAAAAAAAAANCTTTTTGGTTTGCGTTGTTCGGCATAATTTTTTTGTGGAATATGCAGAATTGCTGTGGACTCATCAGAAAAGATTCTTGACCTAAAGGTGATTGTTAAAGATGAAACTCTAGCAAATATAGGCCAACTATATTTCTTAACAACACAGTTACTGACATAAGGATTTTGCATTGATAGGTACCCAACCACAGTAACATTGAAAATAAAAGCATCAAAAGTACAATGTTCAACACCGAACTCTCTACACTTAACATCCCTCATGAGGCAAATGTCAAAGAAGTACTTTCTACACTTAACATTCCCCACGAGGCAAAGGTCAAAGAAGTGAACATGTCATTCTCGATTGAGAGTAATAACAACATCAAACAAGCTGAAGCTCATGGCAAGGAGCTCGACGATGTAAGAACACTTACATTTTCACATGTTACCGTTAGAAACCCTTCTCCTGACACTAATTAAGAAGAGAATGGTTTAATGGGAATAATTATTTTTCGTTTTCAGCTGTGCAATATGCTGAGGAAGAAACACGATGAAGCGAAAGAACTACTGGTTCAGGCTGTCGTGAATAGCAATAAGCTGCTGATGCTCAACAATCCCCTTCTACATGAAAAGATATCCTTTTCTATTGAATTACTAATTTAACTATTCGTATTATATGTAATCGCACTAATGTTGACCTTCATCACCACAAACATTTGTGCAACTCAGAATATTTTTGCCAGATTAGCACTTAACTGAAATCATGGAGAAGTCAGTTGCTATCCACACGAAGGCATGACCCACTCTCTCTCTCAATGAATAATACCATCGGCAACTTACTGTGAAATGTTGATTTTCAGGTAAAATGGGGAGATCCATTCCATCAATGATGTGTGGAAACTTTCGATTGTTTGATGAACTCCTTTCAAGAATTAGAGCATTCTCAGTATGTTAATGGTCAGACTCAAGAGGCGATCTTGATATCATTCCTTACATATTTTTCTTCTTGGTTTTCTCAAGTTCTAACCAGTTCATATGCAATGATGCCTATATAAGGTTATTTGCTTGTTACTACTGTTCATGTGTACCTAGTGCATGGTACAGCCTGTTCATGCTTTAAAAGTCTTTGATAACATAGCCTGCTGACCAACTTGGCACCAAACTAATACAGTAAGCAAAAACTGGAGTATAAACATATCTTCATCTCCTCAGTTTTAGTTTTCTTCAATTTGATAGTTCAAAATAAACAAGTACCTGATGTACTACTTTCTCCCATGATATTTGAAATTCTATTAGTATGTAGTAGTAAATAACATACTCGTGTTTCATTTTATATTCGTCCTAAAATAAGATTTCAATTTCTCTGATATGGTGATCTATCATGCTCAATTGTTGAGCAAGTTATAAAAATCTTTAGTTGTACGACTTGGTTAAATTCATTTATACCACGTGACGTGTCTGTCCACGTCGCCAAAATAAGTGATTTTTTTTTTTTAAAAAAAACAAAATTCGATTTTCGTTATATTGCCTCTTAAAGTTTAAAAGTTGGCATGTTTCATCCTAAAGTAAACAAAATACTATTTGATTTAAATGGGATTTAAAAACCCCATTCTATCAGAAATTGATAAGTTTTCTCCCATAAGTTAATAACTAAAATGACATGATTTTGAATTGAACTTTAAAATTTGGTTTAGGTACTTGAAACTCATGAAAAGATGACAAAATAAGGTGTGATATTAACTTTGGACAACTGATTCGTGGTAATTGATTGAGTAAAAATGTAGGATACACTTGAACATAGAAAACTTAATATTTGATTTCTAGATGATCAAAATATTTAATTTTTGAAGATGGTTTCTCTAATGAAGTAGATTCAACAGTTGGATTTCTGTTCAATAGTCGAACAAATTCATAAAATATAAGCTTTTTAGAGTTACTAATCAAATTTTTTTATTGAATCTTAAAAATTCTTACTAAGAATTTGAAAAGAATTCTAAAACTAAACATCTAGATGTTTAGGCGGTTAATTTCCGCATACAACCTTAGTTGTCAGTTGGGCGGGCTCGATAACTCTGTATGAATTATCCGTTTTTTATCATGTTGTTGATCCAGAAAACTACTTTATTAGAAAAATCTTCTTGTAAGCAATGGACAGCCTTCAATTGAAAATTGAATAGTTTCATTCCTTCTATTCCCCCTCTTCTTCATCTCTTAGTCTGTGTAACTTATTTCGAAAAGGGATTTTGAATGTCGATAAATTAAAAAGTATATATATTGTTTCCTTTGTATATATGTCGCTTGCGTTTTCATTGAATAATTATCTCAAATAAATAAATCATACCTCATTTTATTCAAAAATCCTAAATTTGTTTTAAAATGTGATCAAAACATAGTCGTTAACTGAGTTAAGCTCTAAAATTTTAATAGACAATAATATCAAAAATTGATTTTAGAAGGTATAGAATTTTTTTTCAAAAAATGCTACAAGTACATAAATAAATGTACATAGAGGTGTACATAACACTCACATGGAGTGGAGCCTACTTAATTTTTTTATTTTTTATTAATCTCATTCAATATGAGTGTTATGTACACCCTTATGTACACTATTATGTACCTACAACATTTTTCAAAATTTTCTTCTAAAATAACTAGCATGCAAAACATCAAAATCGCAATATAAAAATAATTAAATGCAATAGCAAGGTGCACGTGGTTTTTTGGAAACTCCCACGTTCGAAAAAATGAAAAAAATAAAACAAGGGGCTACCAAGCTGCTTTGCGAGTGACCTGAGTTAGGTGGGTGAAGGTTTATGCGACCACCAATACTTTTTCCTTACCTACTACTTTAGTTTCAATTTTAATCACACCACTGTTCTATTAAACCAAATTACAAGAAAAAAAAAAAAAAATAATCAATCAATCAATCTTGTATTGTACAACCCATTACGCATCATCAATTCTTGTTTCCTCGGTCAAGATTTAGCTGTTATGGTGTTGTGTATTAGAAGTTGTTTTTAGATTTAGTCTTTGTGTTTTTTCAGGCTCTTTTGATTAATTGGAGATTATGGATTTCTTGGCAACGTCTGAGGGCCAACTGTTTGTTGGTATTGCTGTTGGTCTTCTTGCAATTGTTGCCGCATACTTTTTGTTGTCGTCGAAGAAGCCTAAAGGTTCGTTTTATTGAAGCTAATTTGTTGCGATTGAATGATGAATGTCCAAATTCATGTATTTTTTCAAGGATTAATGTTGTCTTTGGATGAGTAAATTTTGTGGGTTTTCTGGTAGCTTGCATTTAGCTTAAAGGGAGTTATTTTTATTATTGTTGTTTCAATTAGAAAGATCTCAGCTAGTGTAAAGATCAAAGCTTTTCTGCTTTTTCTTTTGTGGGTTTCTCAAGGGGATGAGAAAAAACACGTTCTTGCACATTTATTTTATTTTAGTTTCTTATTTTTCACTTATTTGAGCTACAGTACAGTGTACATGTACAAGATCTCAAAGTTTTGTGTTTTGTATTTATGATTGTTAATGTTGTACGTTTTACATAGTGTGCTTGGATCCTGAGAAGTTCAAGGAATTCAAGCTCGTCAAGAAAACACAACTCAGCCATAATGTGGCGAAATTCAAGTTTGCCCTTCCTACACCCACCTCTGTTTTGGGCCTTCCTATTGGACAACACATAAGCTGCAGGTTAATTTGATCATCTAATTGTTATATTCATGATAATGATATCACATTTTCTTTTTCCCTGTTATTTGGTTGGTGTGGCATATTATTTCAAATTTAATTGCTGGAAAAGCTCTCATAATTATGCTTGATATTAGCTTATGAACGAATATTAATTTATACTGCAGGGGTAAGGACAGTCAAGGTGAAGATGTAATTAAGCCATACACCCCGACGACTTTGGATTCTGATGTTGGATATTTTGAGTTAGTAATAAAGGTGCTTAATTATGTAGTGTCATCCATTTATTTGGGTGTGCCTCTGCTAAATGAAATTAATACTTTTTTTTTTCTTTTTTCTTTTTAAGTCTCATTTGTGTGTTTTTTGATTTATACAACGATAGATGTATCCGCAAGGAAGAATGTCTCATCATTTCAGAGAGATGCGTGAAGGTGATTATTTGTCTGTGAAAGGACCAAAGGTACAATTTGCAGT